CTGTCTATATAGTGATGTGAGTTATTGTGCTTTGCTCCCACTCCTTGTGTTCTGTGTTTTCCTCTTCCCTTCGTGTATTTCTTCATGTTCTCTCCCTCTCTCTCCAGGCCTTTTCTCTGTACTTCCTGTGTTACTTTTAAGGTCCACATCTTGGTGTCAGAGTTTCCAGTTTCGTGTCCTCCCCGTCCTGTCAAGTGTAATTGTCCTCAGCTGTGTTGCCTGTGTGCTTCCACTTCCCTCATTACCTTCTGTGTATTTATGTCAGAGTCTCCCTCTGTTCCGTGTCGCGTCATCCCTCATGGCTTTGTTTCCCTGTGTTTCCTTGCGGCTCAGTTTATCATTTCCCAGTTTAGTTTAGTTCTCTGTTTTCCCTGTACTCAGGCAATATAGCAGTGCTTTTGAGTTTAGGTCCAATCCCTGCCTGCACACAGCCGGATCATGACATTTATGCCAACTTATTCCTATGGGAATCATAAATTAAAACTTTTAGTTCATCTGAGCAGACACGTATCACATGTGGAGTTCCCCAAGGTTCCATCTTGGGACCCCTTCTGTTTAACATTTACATGCTCCCACTGGCACAGATTATAAAGAACAACAAAATAAACTATCACAGCTATGCAGATGACACACAAATATATATCACAATGTCACCAGGAGACCGAGGCCCTGTACAGGCTCTTGGTAAATGCATTGAGGAAATTAATGACTGGTTGTGCCACAATTTTCTCCAGCTAAACAAAAACAAAACTGAGGTAATAGTCTTTGGGCCAAAGAAAAACGATTACAGGTCACCAGAGAACTTCAATCTATACACCTAAAAACTAGGGGTGCAACAATACTCGTATCGATATTGAACCGTTCGATACAGTGCTTTCGGTTCGGTACGCATATGTATCGAACAATACAACATTTTTTATTTATTTTATCAACTTTTCTTCTGACGATGCTGTCTGTGTTGAGCGCTCAGTGGATCTGCGTTCGACTACTCCGCCTAGGCTGCACTGTCGAGTGCAGATCCACTGAGCGCAGCGCAAGCTAGCAAGACAGAAGCTAAGCTCGTTGCAACATGGCAAACTGCCTCAACGATACCCGAAAAACCTCCCCCTCATTCAGATCTGGCGCTTTGGAACTATCTTGGTTTTCATGTGAAGCATGACCCTGATGGTAAGCGCGTCATGGACAAAAGTAAAACAGTATGTCGGATGTGCCACGCAATGCTCAATTGGTGGGAACTAGTGCGTTAGCGCAATTAGCTTTTTAACGTGTTGACGCCGTCCAGCCCCACGCACGGAGCGATCCGCGGTAACTCATTTACTAAGATTTGCTGCGTTATTTTAACGAGATTAACGCTGACAGCACTAGTGGGAACACAATGAATATGACTGCACATTTACGCCGACATCATCCTAGTGCAAAGACAAGTGGAAGCAGACAAAAACAACAAGCACGCATGCTACAAACTTTACCCGAGTCATTTAGACAGCCGTTAGCACATGATTCTCCTTATGGGGACCTGATATGTTTAATATGCTGCTGAGAATATACCCCAGAAGAAGCGTATAGTATAGCTTTTATTTTGGAAAGAGCCATTTCTCTGTAATAAACTCTCTTTTCCAAAGATGAGTGATTTCTCGATAGATTTTTTTTTTTATTATTTTGTTGTTTCAGCAACATTAAATTTAAAAACTGTACTTTTGAGTTAAAATATATATTTATAATTTTAATAAATGACAAATTAAAAAGGCATGAACATTTTTTTGTTTTAAAAAATATTGAACCGTGACACCAAAGTATCAAACCAAACCGTGAATTTTGTGTTTTGTTGCACCCCTACTAAAAACCAGAAACGAGGCGAAAAATTTGGGTGTAGTGATGGATGCAGACCTAAACTTAGAAAAACACATTAAGACAATAACAAAATCAGCTTACTATCACCTGAAGAATATTTCAAGGATAAAAGATCTGATGTCTCAACAGGACCTGGAAAAACTAGTCCATGCATTCATCTTTAGTAGGCTTGATTACTGTAACAGCATCTTTACAGGTCTACCTAAAAAATCAGTCAGACAACTACAGCTCATTCAGAACTCTGCTGCTCGAGTCCTCACTAAGACCAAAAAAGTGGACCACATCAGTCCAGCTCTGAGGTCTTTACACTGGCTGCCTGTCCGTCAGAGGATAGACTTTAAAGTTCTGATGCTGGTCTATAAAGCTCTGAATGGTTTAGGACCAAAATACATCAGTGACCTCCTGACCCAGTATGAACCTTCCAGATCCCTCAGGTCATCTGGATCCGGTCTTTTATCAGTTCCCAGAGTCCACGCACTGGCAAGCGAAAGCAAGGCCGACCAAAGACCACATGGCGTCGAACATTTATGGACGATCTGAGAACTGTCGACATTGCCTGGGACGAAGCTGAAGCAATCGCTGCTGACCGACATCGATGGAGATCACTAGCCGCCCGATGCGCCGCTCGGCGTAGGAGGAACTAAGTCTAAGTAAGTAAGAGTCAGAACCAGACACGGAGAAGCTGCATTCAGCTTTTATGCTCCATATATCTGGAACAAACTCCCAGAAAGCCTCAGATCAGCTGAAACACTCAGTTTATGCTCATTGGTTTCAGTTTCACTTCCTTCACATCTCGCTATATGTGATTATTTCCTGCTGTGCGCTCCTGTTTCTCATTCCCTTCTCCCTGGTGTATTTAAGCCCTGTGTTTTCCTCTGTCCATTGTTGCATTGTACCATCTCAGTACTGTGTGTTTCCTCTGTGCTCCTGGTTCCTATATTTTATTCATCAGCTCCAAGTTTCTAGCTTCTTTGTTTCTAGTTTTCTGGTTTGCTGAGTTCCTAGTTTCCTAGCTTCTAGTTGTTATGTTTTGTTTCTTGTAACTAGTATTCAAGTTTTCACAGCACAATAAAAGCTGCCTCTTTTAGTTTATTTCCCTCTGTTTCTCTTGTCCTGCATTTGGGTCCTACATCCTGCATATCAGTATGTTTCACATGAGCACTCTGTTTTTATACCTTTCTTAGCACAATTAATGCCACACATTATCCAAAATTCATTAAAAAATTTTTTTACAATGTCCTTCTTCCGTAATAATTACATTTAGAAATGTTTGTTATTTTGTGTTATTTGTAATACCTTTTATTCGTTTATTCTAGTGTGTTTGCGATTTGTAATGATATGATGTAAATGATGTATAAAGCTAAGAACAACTACAAATAAACCTTAAATACTTGTTTTGTCAAATCTTAAAAAAACATTTGAAAAATTAAAATTGGAAAAAAAGGAAGTGAAAAACATTTTTTCTTTCATTATTTCACCCAAATATAGATTCAGTGCTAATATTTCTGATATTCCTGTGGTTCATCAATCACTGAAAATATATTTTTGTGACTTCCGAGAATTCGAAACTGTGAATGTTGTGTGAATTCAGTTGATAGCATTATAATTCAATATTTACACACCTTTTCTATTGCCATACCCCCTAACCAAGCAAATTGGAATGCTGGAATTATGGAGGATAGGTAAAAAAATTTATTCTGTTTTTCAAAACGCTTCTGAACAGTTTTCTGGTGGGATGGTTTCATTGTTCTGCAATGAGAAATCACTGCCGTGTGCTTACCTATGTAACATTCATGTGTCTGGCACATTTCAGGGTAACATTCAGATGAATGCATGACTCCTAATATCATTTGGAATTTGTACTAGACATATGCACACACAGGATATTAAATTTACATTTGGAACTTTTTAATTACCATTGGTTGTATTGAACAACTCAAAAACAGGACTCAGAATAAGATATTGTTATAATGAAATGTGAATTTTATTTTTGTGCCTTGAAAAAAATAAATCTCACACAAATACATTGAAAGATACTAAATCATTCGAAAATTATTACTAAAAAAGCACATATTAAGTGTTTGATTTGAGCTGAAACTGAAATTCAAGAGCTTGTGTTGAAGAAGTATGTTTTGAAATTCTTATCGCCATATTAAGTATGAAACCTCTAAATCCTATGATACATTTTTATTCATGACATATTCATCTTTCCATCTCTCTTTATTTATTTACGTTTTTTAATTCAGATTCAACTGATTGTATACCCTGCCACAAGGAATTCTGGCCTAATGCCAAGAGAGACACTTGTATCCCTAAGCCTGTAGAATTTCTTTCCTTTCAAGACATCCTTGGAATCATCCTCGCTGCATTTTCAGTTCTGGGTGCTTGTCTGGCCATTATGACTGGGGCTGTATTCTTTATAACAGGAAAACTCCAATTGTCCGAGCCAACAACTCTGAGCTGAGCTTCCTGCTGCTCATCTCACTGACTCTGTGTTTCTTATGTTCATTAACTTTCATTGGAGCACCATCAGAGTGGTCCTGCATGCTGCGTCACACTGCATTTGGGATCACCTTTGTACTCTGTATCTCCTGTGTACTTGGGAAAACTATAGTGGTTTTAATGGCTTTTAAAGCTACACTTCCAGGTAGCAATGTCATGAAATGGTTTGGTCCTCCACAGCAAAGAATGACTGTTGTGTCTTTCACCTTTATTCAAGTTTTAATATGTACTATTTGGTTGGTACTTAGCCCTCCATTCCCAATTAAAAATCTAACCGCATACAAGGAGAAAATCATACTGGAATGTGCATTAGGCTCTGCTGTTGGCTTCTGGGCTGTGCTCAGTTACATAGGCCTACTTGCTGCCTTTTGTTTTGTTTTAGCTGTCTTAGCCCGCAAATTACCTGATAATTTTAATGAAGCCAAGCTTATCACCTTCAGCATGTTGATATTCTGTGCAGTGTGGATCACCTTTATCCCAGCATATGTCAGCTCTCCTGGGAAATTCACTGTGGTTGTGGAGATTTTTGCCATTCTGGCCTCCAGCTTTGGACTAATAATGTGTATATTTGCTCCAAAGTGTTTCATCATACTGTTTAAGCCCGAGAAGAACACCAAAAT